GAGGAATCTGCTGGGCAGTTGTCATCACTGGTGGGGATGTAGTTCCTTGGCCCAGTTCATTGCTCAGAGACAAAAGAGCCAGTCCTGGGAGCCTTGAGTTTGTTGACAAAATCTGTTTCGTGGTTTATATTAGCTTTGGCTTTGCCTGAAGTTTCCAAAAAGGCGACTCTCCATAGATAGATTTCCATAGACTTCCCTCCCCTTTGCTCACCCCACTGGTTTTCCTACAAGTAAAACATCAGTCTTCCTCTTGGTTTGCTTTAAGATTCATCAGACCAGCACCATCCAGGCCTTAGGCTGGCCTTCCTCCCCATGCATCCCCACCCGCCCTGTACTCTGACCCCCCTGACACTTGTGTTCGGGCTCTTGAGCAATTTATAAACAAGGAAGAGATGAACATGTTCTACTCTGACCCTGGATACCTTGGGCAGTGATGAGAGGGACAGGCCGGTCACAGGGGAGCAAAGGTTCCGGTTGTGTGGCCACACAGACAGCACCCCCCCCCATCCTCTAACAACTGAACTGGAGAAGAGACATCAGCATCCCACTGCCTCCTCCCAAAGCCCTAAGAAAGGATGCAGTGGGGGTGTCTCAGCCCCTGCTCACAGAAACTGTGAAGCGGTGACAGCAGGAGCCCATCTGGGTACATCAGGCCTTCCCTAGTGGGGCAGGCAGCGCTCGACTAATGAGCAGACGGGACCCTGGGGAGACCAGTGGCAGCACCCCGCCCCTTCAGGCATTTTCATATCTGTCCCCCTCCTGTTGCACTTCCCCCCCCCAAACCCCCCTCCCAAAAAGAATGTAGAGGGAAGTTCCCTGCAGGGCTGAGGGGTGCTGAGTTCCCATACAGGGTATTTCCTGCACATCTCAGAGCCTGGGTTTCCATCTCAGTCAGTGTGGTGAGGAGTGGGGAGAGCAGGGCTTGATCCCCCTCAGTCCCTCTGGCTATGCCATGGAGGACTCCATGCAAACTGGCAAGTTGGAGGGTCTGGGAAAAAGGGCGGGGATGGGGGACACAGATGATGGAGGAATAAGGTGTAATACTGTGTTTCAGAGGGTCTGGGACTTATCACTGAAGTTTGAGCAGGGGAGTGGCCTCGACAGAGCCCCTTGGGTGGGGGGAGGGGAACTGATCTGATGCTGAGGGGGTGGTGTGGAGGGGGGGCTGTTAAGCCAGGATAGGCCTGGGTGGGAGCACTGTGCTAGGTGGAGGGTGGCAGTGGGGGAGCATGGAGCTGGCAGAGGTAGAAGTAGGGGTGCTGAGAGCCATTTGATCCCTCTATTTTCAGGCAGAGCCTCAAGCATGAAATGGAATCAACAAGCAGGCAGGACTGGGGTTCATTTCCCCATGTTCATGATGTTTTGGGGTTCTGGGAGTGGGGAGAGAGTTGGATAGCTGGCATTTCTTTGGCCTCCAGTTGGGCTGAGGGCTGGCCCCTGGGAGGGCGCCTTCCCAGTCATCAGCCAGCACCAGCCCAGGGCATCCACGTCTATAGCTCCGGTAAGATAGCTTTGCTTCCTTGCTGCGCCATTATATTCTAATGTCGCGTAGCAAGCACTCTTCTATATTAAGAATGCAGGGTATCATCGTTGATGTCTGGTCTTCGCTTCCTTACTGTGTTTTCTCACCTTCGTGTCTGATGGGTCTCTTGGAGGCACATTTTTAGCACTAAGTCTGGGCGCTGCGAAATAGAACTCAGGTGATATTGTTAGAGGTTGTGTATTTTAATCATGGTGATGGTAGAAAGAATAATGATGAAAAAAGAAAGGAGGAAGAAGGGTGCCTGGGTGGCTCAGTTGGTTAAGCGACTGCCTTCTGCTCAGGTCAAAATGCCAGGGTTCTGGGATCAAGTCCCACATCAGGCTCCAAGGAAGGGCAAGAAAGATGGCATTGGAGTTCTGATCCACAGACTGTTGGGGTGACCACGGGCGCTTTGGCTTATCAACTGGGATGGTGTGCCCCCATGTAGCAACAGTACAAACACAGTTAAAACTCAGCCCACCCACCACTAGCTTTAAGAATGTTAAATTGTGGAGCTCCTGGGTGGCTCAGTTGTTGAGCATCTGCCCTCTGCTCAGGTCATGATCCCAGGGTCCTGGGATTGAGTCCTGCATCAGGAAGCCTGCTTCTCACTCTCCCACTCCCCCTGCTTGTGTTCCCTCTCTCACTGTGTCTCTCTGTCAAATAAATAAATAAAATCTTAAAAAAAATAATTTAACATTTTTAAAAAGATTTTATTTATTTGAAAGAGAGAGAGAGCGCACAAGCAGGAGGAATGGCAGGCAGAGGCAGAGGGAAAAGCGTCTCCTTGATGAGCAGGAAGCCAGACCTGGGGCTCAATCCCAGAACCCCGGGATCACGACCTGACCCAAAGGCAGCTGGTTAACCGTCAGAGCCACCCAGGTACCCAAGTGCCCCAAGGATGTTAAATTCTTGGCACATTTTAAAAATTTGGGATATGCATTGTTTCAAAACTGGGGCATTAAGTGAGATATAAACATTTTTGAATTTGAATCACTCTGTTTCAAATGAGCATAATTTGATTTCAGATAAAGTGCTATTGTGCTACGCAGAAACTTACCACCAAAAGAGAGGAAATGCAGATATTTTTTAACAGCTTTATTGAGGTATAATTTACTCACCATCAATTCCACCCATTGTAAGTGTACAATTTAAGAATTTTAATAAATTTCCTGTGTCATGCAGCCCTCACGACAGTCTAGTTTTATTTTATTTTTTTAAAAAAGAATTTATTTATTTGAGGGAGAGAGAGAGGGTGTGCTTGCAGGAGGTGGGGGGTAGTGCTAAGGGGCAGAGGGAGAAGCAGACTACTCTACTGAGCAGGGAGCCCAATGCGAGGCTCGATCCCAGGACCCTGATATCATGACCTGAGCCAAAGGCAGACACTTAACCAACGGAACCTATCCAAGTGCCCCGACAGTCTAGGTTTAGAACATTTCCATCACCTACAAAGACAAGTGGTAGCTGGACTTTCTGGCAAGATCCATAGCCAGACCAAGGGGCCTTCGTCCCACTCTAAACCAATTCCAGGCAAGGCAAACATAAAGGCCAGTTCAGTTATTCAGCCACATGTCCACCCCACCCTGTGAATGTCTATACTCTTTGTTCCTTTCTCCATGCTTCCAGTAGCTGAGTCTTGGCTCATCTCGGCCCCCGGGCTCACCTTTTCCTTTCTTCTTTCCACCAGTGCCTGTGAGGAGCCACTCTGGGCTGCAACAGATGTTATTTTCTGGGGTTCTGAGATTTGAGATGCTTCAGAGCCAACCCAAGCTTGTGGAAGTCTTCCACTCCATGTCCTTCTGTCTCCTACTACTTCAGAATGGAAGGCTATTTCCTGCCCCTCCAGTCTGATATAATAAAGCTGGGCTCCCCGAATTGCTTTTCCATAGCACTTTGGGGGTTCCTGTCTAACACTGTTGGGCACTTCCCATGGGAGAAGAGCTTCCATGGTTCCAGAACAGATTGCTGCTCCATCATCTCCATGGGTCTGTCTTTGCCTCCTAATCCAGTCTCTTCCCCACTTAGCCAGTAAGGTAGGTCGGGGATCCTCAGGGTACTACTGGTCCTGGTGGACTTGCCCTCCGTGGTCTCCTTAAGCTATGGGAAAGCCCTCTTCCCTTTTCTGCTGGGGAGGGTATGGATTTTTGTCTGCTTTGTTCATTGATGTGTTCCAAGGGCCTATAGTAGGCATTAATAATTTATTGAACCAAGTAGAACTGGAGTCAGAAGAGGGCAGGAGTGTCCTCAATTCCCTCCCTGCTGGGTAGTTGGGAAGCCCTTTGTGGGGATAGGTTCCATTTGATCTATTTTAAGCTTAGCTCGGTTCCATTTCTCCAAGGACTCTTGGTTTATGGATTATCTCGGCAAAAGCTTGTCTGACCTACCACAGAATTCCCCACAAACTTCCCATGCTCCTCTGCTCAGCCCAATCATTGGTGCTGTTTGGCTGGGTCAGTTTCCTCAAATGGACCCATAACCCCAACTGAGCCAGCCCACCCTGAGCCATTAGGACAGCTGCTTCAACGCTAGGCTGCCTCTGGGGGTTGTGATCTCCCAACTCCTCCTTCCCGCCTTGCCATCCACCAAATGGGCTCTCTAGTTCCCTTCTCTCGAGAGTCCTGAAGGGGGCGTCACCTTGAGCAGGCAGCCTTCGGGTCCCTTTCCCCACCAGGATTCTGGTCTTCACCCCAGTTTTGTAGCCGGCTTAATTTCTGGTCTCACTGAAGCCTTCTCGTTCCTTCGCCTTTCCCGTCTGTGTGGGAGACACAGACATCCCCTGTTGCAGGGATTCTGCCACGCTTGTCCCCTTCCCAGTGATCCATTCTAGAGGAGGTCGTTCCGGGTTCAAGGTTTGGGTTAATCGGCCCCCAAGCCTGCAGGCCCAGGGACTCCACCGTACCCTCGAGGCGGGTACTGATTGCTCCAGTGAGGCAGCCTAGCCGTCGGCGCCGGGGGGCGTGGCGAGTGCTGGCAGTGCCTTGGGCGGAGTTGGGTTGTGGGCGGGTTTGGGGGCGGAGCTGAGAAGCTGACTGTCCGCGGGCGGAGGGCAGCGAGTCGGGCTGGGGGCGGGGCCGAGAGCGACGCTGGGGGCGGAGTCGGCCAGGGCGGTGCTGGGGCGGGTCCGGGGGCGGAGTCTGACTGGGGGTGTGGCTGAGGGCGGAGTCTGTCCCGCGAAGGGCTGAGGTTGGAGTGGGGATGGGGCGGGCCCAATGCGCTCAGGGTTGAGTGGGGCAGGGGCGGGGCTGAGGCCGAGCGCGAGGACCGGACTGGCCCGGAAGGAGCAGAGGGCCGGCCGCGAGCTTTGCGGAGGCGGGACTAGGAGAGTCCCGGGCTGAGCCGAGGCCCGCGGGGCTCCGGGCTGGCCGGGGGCGGGGCGGGGGGCCGGCCGGGGCGGGGCCGGGGCGGGGCCGGGCCGGGGCCGGCAGACGGCGGCACCCCTTCTTCAGGTGTTGCGGCGGTTCCACGTCGCCAGGCGGTCCGCGGCTTCCGTGAGCTCAGGCTTCCTTCAGCGTCCGGAGCGCCGGCCCTTCGGCTCCCGCGCGGCCATGGCGGGGCCGGGCCCGGGCCCGGGGGACCCGGACGAGCAGTATGATTTCCTGTTCAAGCTGGTGCTGGTGGGCGACGCGAGCGTGGGCAAGACGTGCGTGGTGCAGCGCTTCAAAACCGGCGCTTTCTCGGAGCGCCAGGGCAGCACCATCGGCGTCGACTTCACCATGAAGACGCTGGAGATCCAGGGCAAGCGGGTCAAGGTGGGAGGCCCAGCCTGGGGTCGCCGGGCGGGGGTGGCCTGGCCCTCTCTGACTGCCGCGCAGCCCGTTCTCCGACGGGCACCGGGGGTTGACCGGGGCCCCTAGAAAGCGCTCCCTCAGCGGAGGCGGCCCCAGGCCGCTGCGAGCGCCCCGGATTGTCCTGAGGTTTCTGGCAAATCCCTTTCGATTCCCCCTTTCCCTTCCTCCTGTTGGAGCAGGCCTGGGCCTTGGGGTTTGGGTCAGTTCAGTCCTCAGAACATCGGCCTTGGGGTGTGTGTTTGTGTGTGTGTGTGTGTTTTGGGGATGCTGCGGGGGAGGAGGCCCTGCCCTCCGGAGCTCACACCCTGGGGGCACTTTTGCTCCAAAATAACTTAGCCAGTGGAAGGCAGCAGAGCGGCTCGGGGTGCGGGGGACAGAAGGCCGCCTGGCTGGCCTGACCCATCCCCCCTCGATCGAAGCTCCCAGCTCGGCCCTGGTGGGGGGAACCCGGCCAGAGAACTACACCGCCCCAAGCCTAGGAAGGATCAGGAAGTAGTTGTTTCTAGGACCGGAGGGCCAAAACTTTTTGTCAGAATTTCCGGCCTGGCCACGCCTCCCTGCAGTCTCTTTGTGGACCTGGTGGTGGAACTTTACTCGAGGAGGGCCAGCCCTGGGTCCCCTCCCCCAGCTGGAGTTTGATAGAAACTGAAAAGTTCACAGATACCGGAAGGTGGGGGAGAGGACCCAACTTTGGCAATGACTCTGAAGAGAAACAGCAGGATGTAGTTGCCACAATGTCCTGGCAGTGCTTTGATAAATAATATTTGTGATTAATGAATCAGTTTCTTAACCTGGCTACCAGCCCTCCCTCATGGAGTGAGGAGACCGTGGCTGGGGCAAAGCATTGTTTTTGCTCAGTAACTTAACTGAGCTCTGCAGAAATCTTTTCCATTCTCTCACCATTTTCAGTTCACATGATCTCCAGGACAGTCCTTAAGAGCACTGGGCAGGGGCAGCACAGGACAAGTGTTATCTCCTGTTATCTCTGTGTTTTCTAGAAGTTGAGCCAAGGTATGGGGGAGTCCCTTGAGACCTGATGCTCTGGGGCTTTGCGTCCCTGGGCCACTGTAGCCCCGCTCATGTTTGCCTTTAGCCAGGGTACTTAGCTCTTTGTTTCTGCAAAATTGGTATAATTTCTGGGTGTTGCCTACCTCCTGTTCCTCCGTGGAGAAATAGTAAGCCAACAAACTTTACATGATTTGATGTGCCAGCGGAAGCAGAAGCTCCTTGCCTGAAGGCTTTTGTTTTGTTTTGTCTTAAAGAATCTTCTGGGTTTCTGTGTGTTTTTGGTTGCCTTACATTGGAGAGAAGAAAAAAAAAAGCAAGGTGGGGCCGGCAGCTTTGAGTCATTATTTGGGACCACCCCTTTGGAACAGGTGGTGAGGGAAGGGCTGTAGGATGGGTGGAGTGTGTCTGTGGATGAGTTTGTGCCCTGCGATGATGCCAGCAGCCACAGGGAAAGTGGAGTGCCCAAAATATAGGCATAAATAGCAGTGGTGTTCCTGCGCGCTGCCGGCCTTCTCCTACCCCTGAGTGTTTGTGGTGGCTGGGTGCTGACGGTGGTCAAGGAGGGGGCGGGGTGTTCCTGTTTACCTGGCGAGATAACAGCCTGTGCCCCAGTGGAGCCCAGGGTGTACTGTGTACCCGAGCACAGGTTATGCAACGCAGGGCAGGGAGTTGGCGATTTCTGTTCCCTATGGTTACCTCCACGTTGTTCTTAGGAAGCAGCCTGGTGGGATAGGGACTGGGATCCGGTCGGGGTAGAAGGGTGATAATGGCTGCCCCTCTTGGTGGCTGTTGTGTGCCAGCTGATGTACAGATGTGTTCTTATTAACCCTGTCCTGGCATAGGACAGGCTGGCCCCAGGGTACCCAGCTCATAACTGACACAAGTGGGCATTTTTCTTCCAGTGTTTCTGACATTGAGGTCTTTCCCCTACACCAGCCTGCTTCTTAGAATCTGATTGTTTGGAGTGGGAAAGTCTTTGGCAAGTATCTACCTCCTCAGTTTGCAAGTCAGAGAAACCTGAGGCCAGGTACTAAAGAGGCTTGGGATTGAAACTGAGGAGCAGTGGCGTGGGGGTGGGGGTAGCCCTTCAATCAGCCATTTGGGGGCTCTTCTGACTCAGCAGGAGCAAGTCATTTTTGCTCTCCGAGTCTGTTTCTCCATCCATAAAATACCTCGGAGGTGTCTTTGTATGTTGTTGTTTTTTTTTTTTTTTAAAACATCAGGTTTGTTCAAGTTAAATTTATTCTCCTTAAGCTTCACCCATTTTAGGTGTACAGTTCTGTGAATCCTGATGAAACGTATAGAGTCCCATAATCACCAGCACAGTCACAGTATACAATACTTCCAGCAACCCAGAAAGTTCCCCTGTGTCCCTCCCTTTGTGTCCGTGTCCTCCCTTCACCTTAGCCCCTGGCAATCACCGATCTGTTTTCTGTCCCTATAGTTTCAGCAATGTCACTTTAACCGGAACCTTTGATGAGCCAGATTTTATTGTTATTGTTCCTGCACTTCAGGGATTTAAAACCTTTCCAGGGGCTGTCTGGGGCCCAGCAAGGATCCACCATGATTCCCCATACCTCCTCTCCCTGTACTGCCAGATTTTGTTAGAGCTTGAAGAACCCAGAGATAGATCACCTGGTGTTTTTGCAGCTCCTCTGAGCTCCAGTGCTTGGGAGCTGCCGCAGGGGTAAAGGGGAAAGGCCAAGAGGCCACAAATTCAGAAGGGCCTTAATTAACTAGCTTCTCACCCAGCCAGAGCAAAACCACTTTTATCCAGTTCTATATTGAGGTTCCACTTGTTTTTATTTGACTGAAAAGTTCTGCTGCTAAAAAAATAAGAAAATTTGCAACATCACAGATCAAATTAAACCTCTTTATTTCTATAATCACTTCCTGTTGCAACCAGAATGGCATCCAGACTCCTCACCTGAAGCCATGGGCCCCCTGTCTGCCTTGGCTGTCTTATCTCCTTCCCTCTGCCCTCACTTGCTGCTCTCTAGCCTCGCTAGCCCTTTCTGTCCTTCAGACATGCCCTTCAGACATGCCTGCTTTGGGCTCTTTATATCTGTCCCCCTGCCTGTCATATAATGTCCCTACCTACATCCCCCTCCTGCTTCCTCATTTGGCTCCCACTGCAAATGTGGACCCTCTCTCCACATTACAGGGTGAGTTCAGGGGGTAAGTTCATAGCTCATCAGACTGGAAATGACCTCATGTGTTGATCTCCTGTACAGGGTCTGTCCACTCCTTGAAAGTGCAGGGATCTAGTCTGCTCTGTGGGCCTGTGAGGCCCCGCACCCGCAGCAGTGTTAGACACACGGTGCACAGTACATGTCTCTGAATTGATTTTTATTCATAGAGGGGAAGCTGAGGCCAAAATAAAGGAAGTGACCAGCATACCTAAGGCCACACCCAAATCAGGTGCAAAACCAGGACTTGAACCCAGGGTCTGCCTGGATTCTAAGCCCAGTGCTCATTTTTACACTTGACCACCCGTCTGAGTCCCTCTGAGTTCAAAATGATGACCCCGAGAGCCTGCAAGTTAATGAATCTAGTAAAAATGGAGTTGCAGCCACTGTACTTTGAGAAACAACGTGGACTTGGGCATTTGATAGATTTTTCAGTAAGAAGGGTTGAAACCCTAGCAAGTTTCAGGATATTTGCTCCCAAAACATCTAGCCAGCTCTGAACAGCTCACCTAGCCTGCTGTGCTGGTTAGTAAGGCTCCATATAGGGTGATGGGCTCCTGTGCCGCACCCCATGTGGATTCCTACAGCTCTAGCTATGCAGGTTGAACTTCAAGAGCGAATGCGGGGAATGCGGGGGCGGGCTGCATCTTTCAAACTGTGGGGTCTCTGAAAGAGAGCGCTGGCTTAGGATTCTGAAGGTCCGAGTCTTATTTCCAGCCTCACCACAACTGTGGCCAATTCTTTCTTTCTTTTTTTTTAATTGTGTTATGTTAGAAATTCTTTTTCCCTTCTTAGTTCTTAGACCCCCACAGCTTCCGGGGCGCCTGATGGCTCAGTGGGTTAAAGCCTCTGCCTTCAGCTCAGGTCGTGATCCCAGGGTCCTGGGATCGAGCCCCGCATCGGGCTCTCTGCTTGTCAAGGGAGCCTGCTTCCCCTCCTCTCTCTCTGCCTGCCTCTCTGCCTACTTGTGATCTCTGTCTGTCAAATAAATAAAAATAAATTAAAAATAAATAAATAAATAAATAGACCCCACAGCTTCCTTATTTGGGAGTTGGGACTAATGATCTTTGCTCTGCCTGCTTCTTAGGGTTGTTGGGAAACTATGGACATGCTTAAACTAGTATGAAGATTCCCTTTATATATTTCTGAATAGATAATCCAAATACATGGTCCAGAATTTCAAAATTTCAAAAGTGTAAAAGGGCATACAGTAAAAAAACAAAAACAAAAACAAACAACAGCTTCCTTCCACCTTCGTCCCCCAACTCCACACTGCCTTCTAAGAAGAGGCAGTCGGTGTTAATGGTTTCTTGTCTATCCTGAAAGTGCTAATGCGAATAAAACCGAGGAATTACAAATGAGGACTTAAATTATTGTGGTCGTTGTTAACCGTTTTCCTCCTTCGATCAGACAGATGATTTCTTAACTCACCCTTCCCCCCCATCCTTGGCTCCACCCCTGCTCCCTGCCACCCCCAACCTCATTGTCCCCCAGGAAATCTCAGCCGGTTCTAAATCCTGAAAACATTCTGACCGCTCCTCTACTCTCTCTTATCTGGGACAACACAAAGGCCTGTTATGTAAACTCATTTTACAGATCGCTAGGGACACAGGCCTCAAGTCCACGAACAGAGGTTAGCCTTGTCGAATTGTACCCCCTTTATTCGGCTCTCTGTCAGGTTCACTTTCCCCTTGTTGGGGATGTTGCCAGATCTCTCCCTCACAGAAGTAAAGTGTATGCCCTTGGGCCTTGGCGCTAAAGCTT